TTTTTTTTTCCCTCTTCAAAAAGAAAAAAAAAAAAAAAAAGGTTAAAAGAGGGAAATATGCAAGGCGGAAAGAAAGGGGGCAGAAAAGAAAAAATATGGAAAAATAAATAAATAAATAAATAATAAAATTGAAAAAAGGAAGGAAAAAGGAAAAGAAAAAGCAAAAAGCTGAAGGGAGAATAATAGAAGCGATAGGGTAAAAATGTACCGATAATGTGGACAGCATCTCTTGAGCATGCACATACATGACAGTACTAGATGCAAGGCTGCATTGTACATATCCAATCATAATAGTAGCACGTAGTTGGAAAGCAGCAGAAAAGAACTGCAGGATGAAGTTCATCTGGAATTTCTAGTGATACCCCAGAAACTCCACATCGGTGCTTGGCAGACCGTGATGACAGCCATCCATCCATAACATATGAGGAATTTTTTAATTAAGCATAGATTTTTTTTCTTTTCTTTATTTGTGGTCTTCAATGTATGATGCATTAATCTAACACAATAATGCAATTTTTCGATTCAAACAAGGATTGATAGATGAAAAAGGGCGATGTCATCAATACCATCGGTTTGTGGTATTGTGTTGAACCCACCTAATCGGATCTAATCATAACTGTGGGGCGATCGATCAACCTACTCCGTGTGGAAGAGCACCATGGACCGTACTCCGTAAAATTACCAGTTTGGTACAGAATCATACACTACACAGGCCAAATGCTCGTGTTTGCCACTAACAAGCGGCTTCGGTCGTCTAGTGGTTAGGATGCCATCTTCCCATCTAGAGGGATAAGGTGGTCACGCGGGTTCGAATCCCGCCCGAAGCATGTTTTTTTAATTGTTTTTTTTGTTTTCTTTATGTTCATCCATGTATTGTTTGTTATCTATCTATCCACCAATTATTATATTCTATCTATATTTTAGGCCTTTCTTTGTTCGCTTCTTCTCTGTGCTTCCTTTGGCTCACCCCCTTCTTTGCTTAATTTCCGGCAAAATAGCTGTTAAATTTGTAGACATCAGTGCCTACACTTCTCTGCGTGTGAAGTCATATGGAAAATCTGGAAATCATCTGATTCATATCTAAGATCCTACACCATAACTGGACAGACTTGCCTCTAGCCTCCGGAGACATATGACCCGTCGAATGGCTGAAAATGGAGTGTCATCTATTGACTTTCTCATTGATTTCTCGGGAAATCCACCCCGGCCGGAAGAGATGCCAATCTGTAAAGGTCTAGTATAGGTATTGAAATAAAGACGGATAGCTGCAGGGAATTTCAATTGAACTGCCCAGAACCAATGGCATGATTGGAATTGGCCTGCAGCAGCTAGTCACAAACACGGTATTTCCGTGTAACGCTGACTCCTGCATGCGGACGGCTTCATCCGAATGGATGAATCCAGCCAGTCAAAGGTGCCTAAGCAAGATTAGCGCCCGCGTTGGATGGTGTAGGGGCGGGTGCAGGTGACTAGATACTACTGCCGCTGTAGGTACAGAGTACCTTGTACCTAACAGCTAACCTTCTCCGTTTACACCCCCCTATAGCATTTTCCTTTGGAAGTGAGATGTCTTCCATCCAGTGTCATCTCTCTCTCAACCATATCCCATGGGAAGCTTCTCCAGCGTCTGTCTACTATCACAATTCTACAGGGCGCTGTTTTATGATCATTTACCAGGCGAGACCAGGCTTAAGTTAAAGTTCTACATGTCTATATTTACGTCAAAGTCTACTAAATACAGCCCTCAGAGCCAGTCCGAAACACTCTAATTCTTTCTGCTTCCATTACCTGAGATACTGTTGCATCTTCAGACACAGAGGAATGGAAAGAGGCGCAACCTACACGTGAACACCGATTCTATCAAAGGCTCGCTGCATCTGGATCGACCCAACGCATCCTGTTCGGCCACAGCCCCATGTCTCTGGTTAATTAAAATCACAGATGCCATCAATTACGGAAACGAGAGCATCCCACCCGCTAACAGCAACCCATAACGCTCTTCGGATACCTGATAGTCCAATGAGAAGCTGGGAAATGGTACCATACAGAGAGAGTATGGATGGGATCTGTGTGCGCTGCAGATGTCTTACGTGAAAGCAAAAGTTTCGGTTATGATCAACATTTTTGTCACGGTCTACAGCACATGGAAGCCCTGACAGGCAACTTCTGTCAAAAAGTTCAAAAACTGTATGAAACTCGTGGCTGACTTTCTAGAAACCGCAGAGGCTATTCTTAGTGGTAGACACCGGTAAGCAGATGTATAATCAGCAGAGAATGGCTAGGTGTCACCCAACTTGAAGCAGTCTTTAAAGTATCGCTAATTTGGTATACCCCCTGTCTTGCCCCAGAAAGCATGCTGCTTTCTGACCCTGCCTGCGCCAATGACTTATAAAAGGCTAGCTGTTAAGTTAATCTTATGATTGTCCATCTCGCCTTTTGTCATTTCTCTTTACTCTTGCTTTGTGAAATACAGATTCAGTGCTCTGCTTAACCATTATTGGGCTTTCATTTAGCTGCTCCCATGAGCAATGTCTCGCTTACCAACCCCAACACCTGCTCCTACGTACTCTGCGGATAGGACACCGATCAAAGCAGCCCATCTAGCCAACCGTGCAACCGCGGCAGCACCACACCCCCATCAGATCAAGGCTGTTCAGCCAAGATCACCGGCAACCAGAGCTGATGATGATGCAGTGCGCATCCCACTTACAACAGCCTGGGCTGCAGATCATCGTTGCTATGATATCTACATCTGGGTTAAATATGGGTTCATGTCCTTTCATCCTCTTTATGAATTGCAAATCGATTCAGGCGCGCAATGTGTATCACCGGAGGCGAGAATTCAATATATTCTCAACGTGGGTGTAGGCTCAGAATCATCTGAAATCTCCTATAACCGCCCGACGGTCGAGCTCAGTCCGGTCGTTTGTCCCAAAGATTTCACTACAGCGCACACGTCCATTGCGAACCCCACAAGTACTGCTGTTACATGCTGTCCCACGTAAGTTGTGACTTCTCTGTCAGCCCTGAACTCCTCTGCTGACAAATACTGGAAGAGGGTATAGCTATGGAAAAGATTACCCCCATTGCACGGCCGTCAAGGCGACCGGAACAATAACATACTACACTTCAATTCCAAGCAAAAGTAGTTGGGCTTTGCGCACGGGGTATCTCACAAAGAACACACCTGTTTACGCGCATCCTGTTACGGGATGGGCCATCAATGAACCCACCACATCGGCCAATCATTCTTCAACCAGACACATGGCGAATGTTACTACAACGCCATCACCGGCAGCAGCGGGCCAAGGAGCTGGTATACCAACTGGTGGGATAGTTGGAATCGTTCTCGGAGTCGTGGCTTTTGTCATGATCATAGTACCTGCAATTCTGTTCAGGCACAAACTCTCTAAAAATTACTTGCGACCTCTGTGTGCCCGCCGAAAACGGCCCCAGCGGACTGAATTTGACTCACTGGAGCCGCTCGAATATGAACAGGAACAACCACGGCCTCCATACCCCGAGCATTCTACACTCTGGCCTAGTGCATACGGCCTAGGTGAATTCGCAGCACAGCCAAGACAGCCACCAGTAGAACTTGAGGCCTGAATTTGTGAGTTGAGCTGCAGACGGGCATAAGAGATGCATGGATGTACGTTGCTCGCGTGGAATGACTCTCTTTTCTGTACCGGCTCCGAGAAGATTGAATTGTATGATCTGAAAGGCGTTTGTTTTATGGGACTTAGGGTTATGGTGGTAGACTAGCTTGGTAGACTGTTACTGATCTCATATGTACTTGTGATAGCTAAGAAAGGCCTGGGTTATTATTAAGATCACTCCACCCTGCCACTCCCACTGTACCGTTGGTTACCTTAGCAGCGCTTTCTCTTCTCTCTTGTCGCAGAGTTCAAGTAAGTTAGTATGGAGACCAAGGATTAGGGAATAACCAGTAGGCCAAAAACTACTGGCCAAGAGTAAAGTGAACCAGAAGCCTGCGACCTTATTGATTAAATGAAAATATGAATAGCCTAAAAAGTTAGTTATTTGATTTATAATTTATTCTATTCATTCAAGTGAAATAGTAGAGATAAATTCAGAATAGTTTGCACTGTGGCCTGAGGCTGTTTGTTAAGCCCCTGAGTTAGCTGAATTCTTCAACCAATGAAAAGCCAAAACCGCCTGAAAAAAAAAAAAAAAAAAAAAAAAAAAAAAGGAGAGCTTACTAGTCACGTGGAAGCCCGATCTGGGCTACAATATCAAACCGGGTGGACTTGCAAGTCCAAATCCAACTGATTCAACAGCGTGATAATATTGGAATGATGTATAAAAGATATAAACCAAGTCAATCTAAAGAAAGCAAATATATAAATATATATATATATATTTTATTTTTTTCACACGGTGTAAAAACACAGAAACCCGTGTTGATCGATTGATCGAATAAAAAGGGGGGAACACAATTTGCTTAGTCATAATTTCCACTAGCAGTTTGCTCAAACACTATCTCCCAAACCGACTCTACTGGCAAGTTTGACGAGCGAAGTTCTAAGGCTTAGAACAACTGGGAACTCGAGCTTGACATTCTCTTTCAAGGTTGGAGTAAAACATATCCTGTATAATGTTAAAAAAAAAAAAAAAAATCTCCCCCAGGGCCAATATTCGTATCAACCCGTAATTAAAAAAAAGGAAGAACTTATCCTTACCACAACACATAATTTTTTGTCTTCGACCTTTCTGCATACATATGTATTGCAGCAGTCTCGCTGCGTTTCACACTGCTTATTACCGCATTTCTTTTCGGTTTCTGCAAAGCAACTTTGATTAGTATGAAAAGCTTTTTTGAGGTGGATAAGGTATGTCAAGTGATAAGAGAAGTGCTTTTTTCTTTTTCTTTTTTTGCTTACCATATTCTTCTAGTGCTCTCTTTGCGTTGTCCTGTGGAAGAGCATGTTAGGATGGTGTTTTGTGGAAAGAAGGGTAAAATCATTACATCGTCACATCTGTGTGTCTCAGTATTGCAGGTATAGGACCCACAGCAGGAATCGTTGTTGGTGCAATCGGACATGTTCATCAATAGGCATTTGAAGGGATCCTTTTCCTTGCCTTGGTCTGGTCTATTGTTAGACGGGAAAATGAAAGGAGAGAAGAAGAAGAAGATGAAGGGGTTAAAAAAGCCCAAAGAGACATACAAGGCTCCTCGAATCCTATGTCACCTCCTCCTGGGAAAGGCTGAAGGAGAATAACTTTGTTAGTAACCCTGGGAAGAAGAAGGTGAAACCTACGGTGGGGGAAGGGGATGAACAATGATACATACGAAAGCGCATTTGCCGTCCTTGCACATACTGCCGTCGCAACAATCCGAGATCGCTTTACATGGTGCGTCCTTCTTTTGACAATCCTTGTAATCTATTTTCTCAGTGTAGGTTTCCATTTAGTAAACCGTATCGGCCAGTGAGAGGGTGGAAAAGGAAAAACGAGCCATTTAACATACCCGGATGCCAAAGCACTGGGTGTCCAAATGCATTGAGTTCTTCCGCCAGAACCGAGCTGGCCAAAGCCGCCGAGGTAACCAGAGTGAGCGATAGAAACTTCATCATGCAACGCGAATCGAAGTAGTAAAAGTAGGAACTTTTAGTAATCGAGACCAAGTGGGAGATGTAAGTAACAGGATAAACTCGATCATCAAGAAAGAGGAATGGACTCAATATTTATACATACTCGGGCCTATACATGACATATCTCCCCATTCTCGGTTCCTCTACTTTCACCGTGGCAAAAGAAGTTTGCCCCGTCTAGAAAAAAGGTTATTCATCAAGACAATGGAGTC